TAAAGACTTCGTGCTCAACATCAGGAAGGTACTCCCTAATCTCACGAAGAGGACGTGGCCTATTGTTATCCTGTGTGAGATCAGATGGCGGGTTAGGAACTGCAGTAGAAATTATCGCGTAGGATACTAGGAGGAGTGAGCGACTAGGTGGAATGGACGGATGGGGGAGGGAACGTGGAGTAGATCTGACGAGAAACGATGTGTTGGAGGGGACGTACTGGAAAGGTTGGAGTTCGTAGATTGGGTTCGGTTCAAAGAGGTGGAACCCTGAAATTCGAAATTGCAACTCCAACCTGAATCCAAACATTGAAGTGACATTCCCGCTACCCTAGATCTCCGATGAGCATTTCGACCACCGCGAAATGATCGCCGTGAAAAACGGCAGATTTCTATATATTCCCGAAAATTTCCACCTTGGGCTGCCCAAAAAAAAACTCCCGAGCGTATAGCGTATTTGCTAGCGTATAGCGTTTTGCGTGTATACGCAAGCAGATAAACGCTATACGCTTAAAGGCAAAAGCGTATTTCGTCACTTAGTCCCCCTCACCCTCCCCCCTCTCCCCCCATCACCCTCCCCTCCCTGCTCAGTATGCGTTGAAAGCAAACTGAAACAGGCCCCCCACAAGAGTCATCCCTCCTTTTCTCCCCAACCCCTTGATCTCGTCCACATGGACCTCTGGTAGACATGAACACGAACCGAACAGGTTTGTTTTTTTTGCTTAAACTGTTCGCCGAACAGTGTTCGATGTTCGCCCGAACACGTTCGTGTTCGGGCCGCTGCTGCAATTTGCCCCGCGACGAACACGAACGTGTTCGAGGTTCGCCCGAACACGCCTTCACAGGCGAACGGCGAACACGAGTTTTTGCTTAAAGTGTTCGCCGAACCCAACAGTGTTCGGTTCGGCAAACGGATGTGTTCGTCTAGGGGCGAATTTCACGTTCGTGTTCGCCCCTTGCTCATCCCTAACCTCTGGGGCCCCAATCCTTCCCCCACCAGGCAAGGTCGTAAATACCTGCTCATCCTGGTGGATGACCACAGCCGGTACTCCTCAGTCTCCTTCCTTCGCACGAAGGCAGAGGCCCCGGCTGCTATTATTGCCTGGGCTGACCAAGCACGCACCCATTTCAAACGCCCTGTCTCCCGCTTCCACTCTGATGGCGGTGGAGAGTCCCTTAATCATTTGCTCTCATCCTACTGCACCACTCATGGCATTATTCACACCTACACCCTACCTCATTCCCCTCAGCAGAATGGCGTGGCGGAAAGCAGGGTCCGTGAGGTCACCAAGACTGCTCGGTGCCTCATGGTCCATGCCTCCTGCCCGCCCTCTCTCTGAGGCTATGCCATCCTCCACGCTGCCGTCCTCACTAACCTGTACCCTCATCCCTCTCGGCCCACCACCACTCCCACGGCACTCTGGACGTCCAAAAAGCCCGACATCACCCCCCTGCGCGTGTGGGGCTCCAAGGCGTATGTTCTTATACACCCTGTCGAACGCTCACGTAGAGCTGGGAAGCTAGCCTCCCGCACTCTCCCCTGCATTTTCCTTGGTCACAACACCTCCTCCCCGGACTATCTCTTCCTCCATCCCCCCTCAGGTCGCCTCATTCGTAGTCGGGATGTAGAGTTCGATGAAGCCCACCCGTACTACACCTCCCCCAAAGTCCCTAACCCCCTCCCTCTAACCACCCGTCCCCTCCTCTGGACTGACACCATTCCCCCCCCACCCCCTCTCCCCTCCCCTTTCCTTCTCCCCCCCCCCACCGTTGTCCCCCCTGCACCCCCACCCCCTCCCCCCTCTCCCCCCGCCTCGTCAGGAGACATCCTTGACCCCGTCCACCCTTCCTCCCCACCCGCTGCCCCTCCCCCTCCCTCCCCACCCGCTGCCCCTCCCCCTCCCTCCCCACCTGCTGCCCCTCCCCATCCCTCCCCACCCCTTCCCTCTCCTTCCCATCCCTCCCTCCCTGCACAACATCCCCCACCTCCCCCCTCCCCACGCCCTCCCCCACTCACTCTATCTCCATCCTCCCGGCCCCTACTTCCCACTCCCCCTCTCATACTCCGCCACTACCCTCACACCCGCTCCACGGTCCCCGTTCTTGGTACCCCAAGGTCCACCCCCCCCTCCCTCCAATCTCTCACATCCATCCCCCTTCTCCGCCACCATAGCACCTCCCCTCTCCCCCGCACCAGCCCCTCTGGTTCTCTTAGCAGTCGCGCTCCCGTCTCCTTGCCCCTCACGGCAACTCAGCGAAGCCGAGCTGCAATGCAACTGTCTCCCCGCCCCGACCCTCAGCGCAGCAGAGCACCAGTGCAGCTGTGTCCCCGCATCAGCCCGACCCTCCAGCGCAGCTGTCTTGCAACTCCACCACCTCCTTTTCCTCCTCCGCACTCTCTGGACCTCTCTGAAGACTCTCACGATGAGCTTCTTTTCCTCCATCTCCTCTCACCCACCATCGCCCGTCGTCCGCACAATGGCTGGCACTACTGTCCTTCTCTTCTCCACCACCCCCACCATCTACGAACCCACCACCTATGAGCAAGCACTTGCCTGTCTTGACGCACCTCTTTGGATCGAGGCCATGGTCAAGGAGAGCAACGCCTTCATCAGCAATCGCTCCTTTCTCGATGTTCCTCGTCCCTCTAAGCACAACGTGGTCAACGGCAGGTGGCTCTTCCGAGTGAAATTGCTCTCTGGCAATGCTCCGGTCTACAAGGCTCGATATGTGGCAAAAAATTTCACACAGACCTATGGCTCAGACTTCTACGAGACCTACTCACCCACCGCCACTCCACCAGTCATTCGCGTGTTTTTGGACTTTGTTGGCAGACGCGGGATGATCCTTCACTCCATGGACGTCACCACCGCCTTTCTGTAAGGCGACCTTCATGAGCTCATTTTCCTGGAACGTCCCAAAGGCTTCCACGCTCCTCACGACCCTGCCACTATTTGGAAGTTGCTACGCCCTATCTACGGGCTCAAACAAGCACCTCAGGAATGGCACGCCAAACTCTCCTCCACCCTTCGCGCACTTGGCTTTCGCCCCTCCCATACCGCCTCTTGCCTCTTCCTCCGCCTGACCCCATCACCCTTCTACATCCTCGTCTACGTCGACGACATGCTACTGGCCGCTGACACAACTGGTGAACTCCAGGAGGTCAAGGATGAGCTGCAGAAACGCCTCGCCTGCAAAGACCTGGGGGAGGTCCGCAACTACCTCGACATGGAGATCACCCGCGACCTCACTGCCAAGACCATCACCCTCTCTCAGTCTTTTTACATCAAAAAGATTTTTGAGAGGTTTGGCATGTCCACCTCAAAACCCATCTCCACACCACTTGCATTCAGGCATCGGCTCTCCCATCCCACCAGTCCCGTCACCTCCCCTCATCCCTATGCAGAACTTGTTGGGGCCCTGATGTACGCCATGGTCTGCACTCGTCCCGACCTTGCATACCCAGTCAGTGTTCTGGCGCAGTTCATTGGCACCGGCAGGCATGGTGACGAGCATTGGAAGGCGGCCATGCGTGTTCTTCGCTATCTTCAGGGCACGAAGGACCATGTCCTCACTCTTGGTGGTGTGAACCCGCCCATTCTTCAAGGCTTCAGCGGCTCATCTTGGGCGGATGCACAGCCAGACCATCGCAGCTCCCAAGGATATGGCTTCACACTCGGGAGCGGCCTCATCAGCTGGCGCTCCACCCGCTCCTCCTCCGTCGCCCTCTCATCCTGCGAAGCCGAACTATACGCTGTCACGATGGCGGCTCAAGAGGCACGTTGGCTCAGCTATCTGCTCACCGACCTTGGCTCCCCACAGCCCTGCCCCACCCTGTGGTGTGACAACGACAGTACCATTCACCTCACCAAGGAAGCCGTCTTTCATGGCCGCTCCAAACACATCGAGCTTCGCTACTACTTCGTTCGCGACCTTGTCCAAGATGGTCACATCACCGTTCGCAAAATCGCCTCCTCCGACAACCTCGCCGACCTCTTCACCAAGGCTCTCCACCGCTCTAACCACTCTGCGCTTCTGCGTCTCCAGGGACTTGCTCCCCGCGGTGGCTGATTCAGAGGTTGTTACTCTCTCTTCCCAAGCTTATGGATTTATGTAGGTTAAAGGGTTGTGTCAGATTACTATCCTCATTGTAACCTACATCAATCATATAAGCCTAGGTCAGAGATAGACACCCAAACTTAGTGTGGGTGTAGAACTAGGGTTAACCCTAGTTGGGGGTTGGATCTCAACCTTGGCCAAATTTCTTGGCCCCCAAGGTTGGTTTGGGAATTATTGGTCCCCCCAATAATGTTGAACCACTTGGCTCTTCCTCTATGCGCTGGCTGATGCTGGCTACTGCTGTTGCTACTTCTCCTGCTGCTGCTCCCACTGTTGCAGCCCCTGCTTCTGCTGCAGTTGCTGCTGCAACGGCTGCCTCACCTCCAATCCCAAGGTTCAAGGACCTGTACTGATTACGAAGCTCGGCTGCCAGACGTCTTCAAATCCAACAGATGCCCCATTGCTGTTGCTAATGATGCTTCTGCTAATGCGCGTGAGCATTTGCCAGGCTGTGCTCATGACTGCAACCCTGTCTCCTCACCTCCTCTGCTCTGTTGCGGAACTTGGTGGGTGGTGTGGCGGTTGAGTGGTGTGGTGCATGAGACGTCACTTGCTTTCATCTGTGCGCATTTAAATGCGGCCTCGTGGTACCTCCCTCGTGGTACCTCCCTCGTGCCACCTCTCTCGTGCCACCTCTCTCGTGCCACCTCTCTCGTGCCACCTCCCTTGTGGTACCTTACCTCCCTCATACCACCTCTCTCATCATCCCAACCCCTTCACACCGCAATGCAGGGCTCAGTGGCAGTGAGCATGTCGGTGCATGAGACGTCATCCCCCTTTATCTGTGCGCATCTCAACACGGGGGATGGTGGAGCGTGCCGATGCAGCATTCACACCCCACCTCCTTCATACCACCTCCTGCTCCTTCTGCCCCGCACACACCAATGCAGGGCTCAGTGGCAATTAGCATGTCGGTGCATGAGACATCCTTCACCTTCATCTGCGCGCATCTCAACGCGGGGGAGGAGCGCGCTGATGCTGCCCGCCGCACATTTGACTTCCTCGAGATTCTCCGCCGCACCACCTTCCCCAGGGAGCTGCCGGACCCATGGACTGCCAGGCTGGCAGAGACCATCACGGAGCACGAGTGAGTGGTGGTGGTGCGGGAAGGTGAGGTTTTTCTTTTTAAGCGCCTCAAAAATCGCCTCACCACACGAGGCTCCTCATGATTGCTGGTGCTAAGTGCGGGAGCGAGTCATGTGGGGTGGGGGCATGCAGAGGTTCACAGATATGCAAGGAATGTTGAAGATTTGACTTTCTGGAGATTCTCTGCCTGCCGCACCGCCTTTCCTAGAGAGCTGCCACCGGACCCATGGACTGCTAGACTTGCAGAAACCATCACAGAGCACGAGTGAGTGTTGATGTGCAGTGGAGTGGTGGTAGTGGTGGTGATAGTGGTGGTGGTGGTGGTGGTGGTAGTGGTGGTGGTAGTGGTGGTAGTAGTGGTGGTGGTTGTGGTGGTGGTAGTGGTGGTGGTAGCGGTGGTGGTAGTGGTGGTGGGGCGCACACGCACTGGTATGGAAGACGTGTTTGATTTGAGAATCCGCTTACTCAAGAATGTCTGGTGCTCAGCCTTCCCCAGAGAACTGTCGGATCCCTGGACTGCTAAACTGGCAGAGACCATCACGGAGCACGAGTGCGTGGCGTGTGGGTGGAGTACTGGTGATGGAGTGTTGGTGTGGTGAAGAAACGCGTTCTGTAGTGGTTTTCACAGCAGATTGTGGGTTCAGCAATAGGAATGAGGGGCTCACTCACTGAGATGCTCACTCACGGAGCACGACTGCTAAACTGTCGATCATTTGCTAAAGATTTCTTCTAGACTGCAGCTCGCTTAACAAGCTTCTATGGCATTGTGTCATGTCATGTATGTCATGTGTGGTGTGTGTCTGGAGAGGGCTGTTTTGTGTGAGGTGTGTGTCTGGAGAGGGCTGTTTTGTGTGAGGTGTGTGTCTGGAGAGGTCTGTTTTGTGTGTGGTGTGTGTCTGGAGAGGGCTGTTTTGTGTGTGGTGTGTGATGTGTCAACCCCTCCCTTCTCACCAGTTGGATGTTCTTTGGCATTCTCTCAGCTGCCAACTGGAGCTGCCTTGCATTGCAACCCAATCTCCTCTCCTCTTCCTCCCTCTCACTCACCACCCTTCCTCCTATCCTCCCCTCTTCTCCTCTTCTCTCTCTACCCCTTCGGCCCCCCACCAGTCCGGTGTTCTTCATTGGCGATCTAAACTACCGCCTGGAGCTACTCTCCATCCAGCTCTCCCCCCTGTTTCCACTCCTACCCTCACCCACATTCTGTTCCTTCTCCCACATTCTCTCTCTCCTCCCCCAGTCCTGTGTTCTTTTGCGATCTCAACTACGGCCTGGAGCTGCCTGCCTCCCCACCCAATCTCCACTCTCTCTCCCTTCTCCCTGCCCTGCTCTCCTCTCTCCCCCCTCCCCCCCCCCAAATCTTCCAGTCGCATGTTCTTCTTTGGCAATCTCAACTACTGCCTGCCTGGAGCTGCTTTCCCCTCCAACCCCATTTCCTCTCCTCCCTTCTCTTCTCCCTGCCCTTCTCCCCCATATCCTACCGCCTCCCCCGCCCGCCCTTCGCCAGTCGGGTATTTTTCTTTGGCGACCTCAACTATCGCCTGGAGCTGCCGGATTTGGAGGCGCGTGCACTGCTGGCCAAGCGCGACTGGGAGGCGCTGCTGCAGCACGACCAGGTGAGATGCAGTGCAGCGCGGTGCTGTGGGATGCTCTAGCATGATGTGCTGTGCTGTGTGGTGCTGTGGGGTGTTGTGAGATATGAAGGGTGGTGCTGCAGTGGGAAGGAATGAGTGGTGTGCCACTGGGACGTGCGAGCTGCAGTGAGTGATGGATCATGGAACTCAAGTGCGTGAACTCCCCGACTTCCTCGCTCTCACCCTCAGCTGCGCTAGGAGCTGTCACAATGCGGGGGTTCCCAAGGCGGCATAAGGCCTTCGTCCTTTCGTCCCAATGTGGATACACCACATGGCAACGGTGCTGCTGCACCTAGTTGGCCATCTAGCTGCGTTACCTCCCCTCCCCACCTCCCTGCCACTCTCTCTCCTGCAGCTGCGGTGGGAGCTGTCAGAGGGAGGGGCGCTCCCAGGGTGGCACGAGGGCACCATGTTCTTCGCCCCAACCTACAGGCTACAGGGACTATGTATGAGATGAGGCACTCAAATGCGCTGCTGCCCTGCCCTCCTCCCTCCCCCTTCCCACAGCTGCGGTGGGAACTCTCAGAGGGTGGGGCACTGCCTGGTTGGCGAGAGGGCCCCATCTTCTTCGCCCCGACGTACAAGTACGCAGCGGGCAGCAACCGGTACGTGGGGGAGGACGAAGAGGACGGGGAGAAGCGCCGCACGCCCGCCTGGTGCGACCGCGTCCTCTGGTACGACTCGGGTGACGCCACTGACAGCCTCCCCCCCACCAGCTTCAGCAGCCCGAGCCCCAGCACCAACACCACCACCACTGGGATCACCAGCAGCGGCAGCATGAGCAGCATGGGGGGGTATGCGAGTGATGCGCTGCAGCTGGTGTCGTACTCGCGGGCGGAGCTGGCCTTGTCGGATCATCGGCCGGTGGCGGCGGTGTTTGCAGTGCAGGTGGAGGCGGTGGAGAGAGAGCGGTTTGATGCGGCTGTTGCTGTGGCGTGCAGACAGCTGGACGAGCGGCAGCAGCTGGCCATTCCGCATTTCTCTCTCAGTGCTCATGCCGTGGAATTTGGAGAGGTGAGTTGGGGTGTGAAGGTGAGTAGGCACGTCTACAATGGGGAGACGGTGGCGTGCCGTCAGCTGGACAAGCGCGCCGCAGCTGGCCATCCCCGCCTGACTTGCTGCTCTCCCTCCCATGACCCCATCCCTCACCCACATCCACCCTCAACGTCTCCCACATCCCGCTGTTCCCCTCCTCCCTTCTCTCCCTCTCCCGTTCTCATGCTTCGAACCTTCCCACATCCCCTCCCCCGTACTCCTCTCCCCGTACCAGGTGCCCTACGCCTCTGCCCTGCCATCCATCGCACCGTCAAGCTGCCCATCTCAGCATTACCCCCTCCAAACCTGCTTCGCTGCCTCCCTACATGCGCGCACCCGATCCCCATCTCAAACTCCACCACCACCCCTCCCACCACACATGCACCCAATCTCCCTCAAACCCAACTCCACTCCCCGTCTCCCCTCCCTCCCCCACCATGTGCCCTATGCCTCTGTCATCCGGCGAACCATAGAGCTGCACAATCTCGGCACAGTCCCCGCCCAATTCTCTCCCTTCCATCACTCACCCACATACCCCTCACCCGCTCTCTCCCTCTCCTCTTCCCCCACCAGGTGCCCTATGCCTCTGTCATGCGGCGAACCATAGAGCTGCACAATCTCGGCATCATATCCTATCTCTACCTTGTACTCTCTCTACCTTCCATCCCTCACCTACATCCGTCTCACCCCCTCCCCCACTCCCTCCGTTCTCCCACCAGGTTCCCTATGCCTCTGCAATCCTCCGAACCATAGAGCTCCAAATTCTGGGCACCGTCCCTGCACGCTTCTCTACCTTCCATTCCTCACCCCATCTCTGCCTTCCCCTTTTCCTCTTCCCCACCAGGTGCCCTACGCCTCTGTGATCCGGCGAACCATAGAGCTGCACAATCTCGGCACGGTGCCCGCGCGCTTCTCCGTGGCCCCTGCAGGCAGCACAGACACCGCAGCTCCCGGCCCTGCTGGGGGGTGTGGGGCATGGGTGGTGGCAGAACCAGCAGCAGGGGCAGTGGCGCCAGGGCACACTGTGACTCTCAGCCTGCACACCTGGGTGGCTGTGCCGGGCACGAGGGTTGATCTGCTGGTGGATCGCGGCGGGCTGCTGGATTTGATTCTGGTGGTCGCGATTGCGGGCGGTGGAGACCTGTTTGTGGCGTGCTCTGGGAGCTACGTGCCCTCCTGCTGGGGCCTGCGGTGAGTGTTGCGATTGGTGGGGCTTACCGTGGTTGCAGTGGGTGTTGTTGCTGGTTTGGGGTTCCAATCATGTAGGGATGGAACCTGCGGTGGCGCTTACGGAGGGTGTTACCACTACTCGCCCCCCCTTGCATGCACCGTCATCATGCATGCATTCTCTCCCTCTTTCCGTCACCACCCATCGCCTTCATCCCTCCTCCATTCTTCCTGCCATTCCCCTCCCTCCCCCTTTCCTCGCCACCGTCAAGTCTGGAGACCCTCGCAGGCCTCAACGGCCCCATCTGCTCGCTATCTCTCCACACCATCACCCTCATTCCCTCCCTTTCCCGCTTCACTCCGTTCTTTCCTTTCCTTCCCTCCCTCATTTTGTCCGCCCCACTCGCCACACCCTAGTCCAGAGGCACTGGCAGACCTCAAAGAGCCTAAAAAATCCCGTCCACCTGCCCCCTCTCTCCTTCCCACCCCCTCGTTTAGAGGCCCTAGCAGGTCTCAAGGACCCCATCCGCTCGCTCTCCCTCTTTCCCCTCCCTTTCTAGCTTCATTTCATCGATCTCCTCACGCATTTCTCCTTCCCCCCCCCTCATTCCCCACCCCCTAGTCTGGAGACCCTAGCAGGTCTCAAGGACCCCGTCGCTCTTCACACGAGCCATATTCCTGCCTTTCCTACCGCTCCCCCTCACGTTCGTTATTCCCTACCTCATTTCTCCTGCCACCCCCCTCCCTGCCCCCTCCCTCCTCACGCAATTCTCCTCCCTCCCCTGATTCCCCACCCCCTAGTCTGGAGGCACTGGCAGGCCTCAAGGACCCCATCCGCTCGCTCTCCCTCAACGCCATCGCCCTCATTCCCTCCTTTTTGTTCCCTTATCATTCCTGCCATTCCTCTCCCTCCTCTCTTTCCCCACCCCCTAGCCTGGAGGCCCTGGCAGGTCTCAAGGACCCCATCCGCTCGCTCTCTCTCGACGCCATCGCCACACGCCAGCGATCCACCGTCCGCTACAGCCGGGCTACAGCTGCCTCTGCTGCCGGCGGTCACCAGGCCAGCATCCCAGAAGCTTCCGAAACCGACCCTGATAATGACGACCACAATGACTCCGCTGCTGCAGGCGGGGAGGATGATCGGCCGTTAGGAGGAGCGGCACGGGCAGCAGCGCCCCATGCATCAGACGCATTTGAGGTGCCCAAGGAGGTGGCCCGCATGCTCACCTTCCTCCTAGACTCAGGCCAGGACATCTCCTCCGCCTTTGACCCTATTGATCTCGGCATCGACCTCTCTCTTGAGCAGGAGGACACCAGTCGTGCGCCCCAGTTCCCCTCCTCGCACTCCACGCCGCACGGCCACCCTCACTCGCTCTCGCACACGCGCAGCGCGAGTCTGTCTTCTGATGTGCTGTCTGCTGCAGTTAGCTCCCTCTCCACCACTCCCGAAAGCAGCTTCAACAGCAACCCTAGCAGCAGCAGCATCAGCAGCAGCCCCGGCGGCGGTGGCAGCAGCAGCTTCGGCAGCAGCAGGGGCAGCGGCGGCGGCGGTGCTACTGGTGGAGGTGGTGTGCTGCCTCAGCTGTCTCGCACCTTGAGTCGAGGTGGAGTGGCAGGGCTCTCTACCGCTGCTGCTCTGGCTGTCGCTGCTGCTGCGGACGCCGTGGGTGCAGTAGCAGGGGCAGTGGGAGCAGCTGCAGCAGACCTCGCAGCTGGAGGAGCCACAAGAGCAGCAGGAGGCGGAGCAGGAGGAGCAGGGGCAGGAGGAGCAGGGGCAGGGGAAGGGGACGGACCGGGGTCAACTCAGTTCCTAGCGGCCAAGGCAGCAGCACTGGGGGCAGTGGCTCAGGAGTTGCAGATTGCACCCATCCGTCTCGCACTCGACACCGGCACACCCTTCCCCACCGAAACCTCCCCCCTCACCATGGCTCGTGCACTTGTCTCTTTCCTTCTAGCCCTCCCTGAGCCTATAATTCCTCCGGCTGTGGGGGAGGAGGTGGCACGTAGGGAGGGGTGGGCAAGGGGGGCTGCTGCTACGCTGCTGGCGGAGCGGTTGGGTGCGGTGCAGCTGGGTGTGGTGGACTCGCTGCTGGCTCTCATCCAAGCTCTGCTGCGGAACCGCATTGCGAATCGACTCGCCATTTATGAGCTGGGTATGGTGTACAGTGTACAGTGTTCATTCACTGGTGTTGCTTAAATGTCGGGATGAATGGTAAAAGTGTTTCCCATTCCGCTGCTTCCTTGTTTCTGATGCACTTCTGTACCTTTCTGTTGTGTTTGAATGGCGGTTCAAAATCACTTACGTATGTACCTGTGGGCTGGTCGCACCTGCCCTCATGGCCTAGTGCCTGCCTCTTAAGTCCCATGCCGTCGTTCACAAATTTTGAGGCGTTTCGAAACTGTTTCCGTGTTCTTGCCTCTCCCTGTGTGCTGGGTTGGTTGGGTTGGTCGCAGCTGCCATACTGGCCTACTGCCTGTTCGGTCCTGTGACGGTGTTCACAAAGTTTTGAGGCGTCTCAAATCGTATCTGTTTTTGTGTTCTTGCCTCTCCCTGTGTGTTGGGTTTGGGTGGGTTTCAGCTGCCATCCTGGCATACTGCCTATTCGGTCCCAGATTGGGGCGTCTCAATTCAAAAATGTTTCCTTGTTTTTGCCTCACCCTGTGTGTTGGGTTGGTCGCAGCTGCCATACTGGCCTACTGCCTGTTCGGCCCCGTGCCAGCATTCACAAATGATGAAATGGGCATTGCAACTGCGACGGATGCTGTGAGGATTGTGAAGCGCCGGAGAAGATTCATGCGCCTGCTGATTGAAGATACTCGTCTCCGTTCCAAGTGATTCTATTCAGGATACGGTAGATGTGGTTTCACTTTTGATACAATGCATACAACAAGCCTTTTGGTTACAGCATGTGACATACGGTAGCATGATTACCTCTTGCTAGCTGGGCATTCCTTATTTAAGCTAACATAATCTGCAGTTTGTGCATTGTGCTTGCATGTTAGTAGTTGATCGACTTGGGTACATGCAGGTAAGGAACTCTTCAGGCGGGGCGATAGTAGTTTGACACCTTAGCTGCCATGGCTTGTTAGCATGCAAATGCCACACTCCATTGTCAAAATCAGGTCGTGCTGTGCTAAGGGCACGTTCCTACACTCTTATCAGGCAAACCTCTAGTCAGCCTTGCATGGTGAAAGTAGCGAGGATTTTTGGGTTTATGAAATTTTCAGTGTGTTTTGACGCGAGCTTGATAAGAGGTTGGCCTGATAAGGGGCCGTAGGAACATGCCCTAATTGTCAATCACCCCGATGAAGTGATGACATGACATGCATCGGACAATTATGGGTGCATAACACCTACGGTAGTATTTCAAACCCTGTGAAAGGCACACATGGATCTCTGAGAGCCCAAGCCCAAAACCAAAACCAAAACCATATGAGGAAGGTCTAGTATGTCGAGAGAACTGTGCAGGAATGGATGAACTACGCAAGAGTGAGATACCGTATTACCCCGGATAGTAGCGCATATGCGCTTACAATAAAATCAGTTTTTTTAAGGGGGGCGCTTGTAATTGAATATCGGCCATAAGCGCCGGCGCTTATATAACGACAAATACAGAAACATATCAAAGTAATGAACGAGAATGCATGAACTAGCAAACAGTTGGGTACAAGTACTAACCCTAATTAGGTTGTACCCCTTATGGGCTACCCCACTACAGCCTAGACAAATGTATCAGCTATAATGTTCTAACACACCCCCATAGGCAAAGTGGGGGAGAACAAGTGGTCACAAGACCAGTCAAGAAAAGCAAAGCAAGCTCAGGGTGGATCACAAAGTCACCACACAGTCCAAGCACAAGCAAAGGGCCACAAGGCCAGTTCACATGCAGAGTTATGTAAAGAGAACAAACAATACAGTGATCATACCCTAGCAAGTGAAAACATGAAGGTATATGTATAGATCACAGAACAAGCAGAGTCAGGCACTAAGCAAGTGAGGCAAAGTAGGCACAAGGCCTAACACAGTAACAAAGCGCTGATGATCACCAGGCGGAAGTGCCTTGGTGAAGACATCAGTAGTGTTGGCCCGATTGGCCACGTAAGCAAGACGAAGCTGGATAAGCTGCTGCAACTCTCGAGCAAGGAAGTATCGCAGAGCGATGTGCTTCGTTCTAAGCTCCAGTCTGTGCTCCTGACACAAGGCTATCATGGCCTTGTTGTCTATGTACAGAACTGTAGGCGAACGAGGCTGCTCTCCCAAGTCGGTCAACAGGTAGGTGAGCCAACGTAGCTCCTGAGCAGCCATGGCCCCGGCGTAGATCTCAGCCTCACAATTGGAGCTGAGAACAAAAGACGAGTGGGTAGAACGCCAAGAAACAGAGCCGGAACCAAGGCTGAAGGTGTAACCCTGTGACGACCGCTGCGTAGCTGAGTCATCACTCCAGGAGGCGTCTGCCTGACCGGTGAGGACAACTGGACCCCGTCCTCCAAGCACGAGCCCCATGCCCGACGTACTGCACAAGTAACGCAGTACCCTCTTCACAGCATCCCAGTGCACCTTTCGGTGCCTGCCGGGAGCCACGTAGGGAGCTAGGAGGCTGAGAGGGTACGCGAGGTCGGGTCGAGTGCACGTCATCAGGTACATGAGGCAACCCACAAGCTCTGGGTACGGACCACTCGGCTCTACGGACTCGTCAGAAGGTGGAGCTGAGAGCGAGTGGTTGGTAGACAGAGGAGTGAGCTGTGGCGAGGAGAACTGGAAGGCGAAGTGCTGAAGGACCTGGTGCACCATGTGTGACTGAGTCAGGGTAATGGTGTGCCGAGCTCTGTCTCGGGTGATATGCAAGCCAAGATAGCTGCGCAGTTCACCCAGGTCAGTGCAGGTGTGTCTCTTCTGCAGCTCCAACTTCACAAGAGTCAGTGCCTCAGTGTCAGCAGCTGCAAGAGACTCAAAGTCCTCCTGCCTGTCCTCAAGGACGTCCGTGCCAAGAGCACACTCACCCCCGACGGACGGATAACTGGCAGACGCAGACTCAGCAACAAGAGCAGTGGCGTAGTCTAGACCTCAGGCAGCAGCAAAGTCAAGCAGCTCAGCAACGAGAGCAGACGCAGTAGCAGACTCAAAAGAAGGGTCAGTGACAGCAGTGGCGAGGAGACAAGAGACAGTGGGACTGGCAGCACGAGCGCGGCCAGACTAAGGGTTAGGGACCTTAGGAAGAGAGGACTCAGGAGGAGCTGGCAGAGAAACACGTAGAGGAACAGAGGAAGGACGAAGGGTCATAGCGTGTGTGCCAAGGACAGGAGGAGGACGCGAACGAGGAAGGCGGCAAGTAGCGCGAACAGGCGAGACAGGACAAGACGCAGGCTCACGACGCTCTGTAAGACCGCCGGACTGCTCAGTGTAAGGAGAAGGAGCAGGCAGTGGAGAGGCCGGCTGTAACGGCGGCTGCGACTGGTTAGGCGGGGGAAACAGGAGGGGAGGAGGAAGGGCAGCTGAAGGCGGGGTACCAAGAACCTGCTGGAGCAGGGGAACGAAGTACAGTCGCGGCCGCACAGTGCCACCAGGGTCAACAGCTCCAGCTCCTCCAGCTCAAGCACCTCCAACACCAGGGCCTCCAACTCCAGCGCCTCCTGCGCCAAGGCCACCAACTCCAGCTCCTCCAGCTCCAGCTTCACCAGCTCCAGTAGTACCAGACTCCGTAAGGCCTCCAGCTCCAGCACCCTCAACACTACCAGTCCCGGCAGCTCCAGTACCCCGGGTACGAGCACCTCAAGGACCAATGGTCGCAGTACCTCCAGTAACACCAGCTCCAGCAACAATTCTAGTACGTCCAGCTCCATCAACAACTACAGTACCTCTAGCTCCAGCAGCGCCAGCACCTCCAGCTCCAGAAGCTCCACTCCGAAGGCGCATACGCCGAACAAACCACTCACGCAACTACTGCGGAGACAGTCTCGGCGAAGCACCAGCAGAACCTCCAGACGAAGCAGCACCCTGAGGCTCCGCACCTCCAGACTCCGCACCCTCCAACGCAACACCTCTAGGCTCAACACCGTCACGCTCAGCACCCCCAGTCGCAACACCCCCAGGCTCAGCACCCCCAGTCGCAACACCCCCAGGCTCAGCACCCCCAGTCTCAGCACCCTCAGACTCCGCACCCCCAGGCTCCGCACCCCCAGACGCAGTACCTCGAGCAGCACCTGAGTCGACAGCTACCTGAACAGGCGCAGGACCAGGGAGAGGGTCTACCTGAGACACACCTGAGGGAGCAGGACCCTGTGGCGGGAGGGGGTCTACCGGAGGGGGACTAGGAGCAAGGAAGAGTGGCGGGGGCGGGGGAGGGGGGGTAGAGCGGTAGGGGAAGAGGCGGTAAAAGGGAACTGACTCGTCAAACGTGACGTCCTGAGAAGGGAAGACACGGCGCGAGGTGGGGTGGTAAAACTGCCAGCCAGGCGCATCAGGGACGAAGCCAAGGAAGACGCAGGGGATAGCACGGGGGGAGAGCTTGTCCGCTGACGTATCGCGAACAAAGGCACGAGATCCCCAGACCCGGAACACCGACGCATCGCCAACCTCCCCCGTCCAACGCAGTGTGAGCGAGGTCTACGGCAGGGAGACACAGGGCCAGAGGTTGAGCTAATGCGCAGCGTACCGGATCGCAAACGGCCTTAGAAAATGGGGAGCAGCCGCATGGATCATGGAGGTACGAGCGACCTCCATGACTAAGCCAATGCGGCGCTCAGCAATCCCATTTTGCTGAGGGGAGTCCGGAAGTGTGAACGACTGGAGAATGCCCTCCCCGCGACAAAAGTCCCGCAAGAGGTTGGAGGAGAACTCACCACCTCTGTCAGAGTGCAGACGCAGGACGGGAAGGTCCTGGCTGAACCGCTCGCGGAGCTAGAGACGGACTGTGCGTATCCAAGGGATCAAGACATCAACGACTTGACCCTTGCTGCCCAAGGGGAAGACCGTGGTGTACCGCGTGTAGTCGTCAACTACTAGCAGAAAGTAGCGCTCGCGGCTCTGTCCACTGACGCGGGCTGGGCCCCACACGTCCATGTGGAGAGTCTGCAGGGGAGCAGTCGTCGGGGGAAACGAGGAGGAGTGAGGAGCGGCGCGCTGCCGCCCCTCGACGCAAGGGAGGCAGGGCGGGGCAGGCGAGGGCGGCAGGGGAGGCAGAGACCTGGGGAGACCAG